CAACAAAACAAGCTATGTTAAGCGGGCAAAGCAGTGCGCAGTGAACACATACTCTAGATACAGTACATGATGTGTATATACATAAATACACACACACACACACACACACACACACACACACACACACACACACACACACCACTAATCTCTGTTCTCCTACTCCATTTATCTTGTTTAACCTTTCCCCGTCTTCTCTCACATTGAGAAAATGGTGTGTCCACCTCTGTTACCTGAAGATGAAGATGAAGAGCATAAGCAGCATACAGAAAGTGGCCACGTTGTCCATGGTCTTCATCAGCACCACCAGCTGCCGCCTGAGCGCCGGCATGAACCTCACCAGCTTAATGACCCTCAGCAGCCTGAAGGTCCTCAGCACTGACAGCCCGCCGTCTGCCTGGCCGATGATCTCACACACACTGCAGCCGACGCATCGGGGGGATGTGTGTGGGACAGAGAGGCAGATTGAGAAGATGTGATCAAAATGTCAAGATGTGTGGATACATTTTTATTATAATTGGGGAATGTGGAAATAAAAAGGAACTACAAATCAATAGAAATAGGGTAGACAGCATAAAATCACAAAATACAAATAAAAGTGTATAATCCGTACTTGTGAGGTGAGGAATACTGCTGCGTTTTACATGTATTACCCCCATTCTGCTTCAACACTTCCTATATTAAACATTTGCCACAACATGAGTAGTGTAGTTTAAAGAAAAGCGCCATTGTGAATGCATGCACTTTGTTTAAGGACATATCTGATTGGTTTTCTGGAGATTAAATGATGTCTCAAACTTAATTAGATGTACAGCAGCTGGACAACCATTGCATGTTTGGACTGAAGCTTTAATGCATTTACATTGAAGGGATTTGAAGCTTTTATTTCAAGGCCCTGGATTTTGTCATTATTCCACCTCAACTTCCTGACAGAGTGACAATCAGAACATAATGTTGTAGTGTGCAGACCTGATGATGACGATGATGCCATCAAAGATGTTATAGGGGTTCCTCAGGTACTCAAAGAAGCCAAAAGCGGTCAGCTTCAGGATCATCTCCAGGGTGAACATGCTGGTGAACACAATGTTGCAGATCTCCAGGACATTGGTCAGCTCATCGGGCTGGGTGACAGAAACGGAAAAATCGAATTAAAAGAAGTAGGAAGGATGTAGAGGCAGGTATATGGAGAGTAGGGTAGAAGATAAGGTTTGAGTTGCAAGCATTCCAGGTCCAAAAACAGAGAATTGATATCCACAATGAGGCAGGTACAGTCAAAGAGACAAATACAAAGTTGATATTATTCCACTGCTTTGCATTCGTCCCAACAATAGATGCTGGAGCCACTGCAAAAACAATTGTTTACATGTCTGTTCTGTGTTGAAAAGGCTGTCACTCAAACTTTCAGTGCCTTGGAAAAAGGATTTATCCTGCCTGGTAAATAAAATTAAGGCATAAAATGTATCTTAAGATAGGCATACAGGGAGGAAGATGGAGAGTGTAAAAATAGGGAAATAAATTACCCGGGGAAATAGATTTAAATGTTAAAGAAAAACACAGGAAGCGTCTTATCGCTAACAGAAGAAATCTGAGAAAGAGAAATTAGTCATTTAAAATAAGAATGTGTTCTACCTGGCAAATACAATTAAGGCATACAGCTTGTCTTATATAGGCAACGGACATATAGAAAGAGAAGAGAAAGAAAATAGGGAAATAAATTAAAATTGTACAGGAAAAAAATCTGGGAAAGTGAGAATGTATATCATCAGCGAAGCACATCGAACACTGGCGGAATACAGGTTCATGTTATCTGTAATTGGCAAAGTAACATGAAATGAACCACACACACATGCTCCAGTAAATCCTGGGGTTTATTTTCTTTTCTATGAGTGTGTGTACACAAGCAGACTCGCTTTTTGAAAGTATACTTTGTGTGAGTGAACGTGTGGTATTCACGATATGGATCGGATGCTTTCTTTGATACCCCCAGTGAATTCCAGTTTGAAAGCCAGCGGAGAAATAGCCATCTAGCCCTGCCAAAGTTAACAAACCATGTCAGAGCAAAACACTGTCAGCCATCCCCCTCCTCTAATCCGCTTTTTCTCTCAATCTATCTTCATCCCCCTAGTTCTCCATCCCCTTTTTCTCTCTGTTTCTGAGTCTCATTATCAGACAGACCCATCTCTTCTCGATCAATGTCCTACTGTCGATCAGGGGTGGGAGAAGGGTGGAAGGAGAATTCAGCTGAAGGAGCGGGAAAGCGAGGAGCGAGTGGAGGCTTTGTTTAGAAGAAGGTGACATGATGGAGGAGAGGAATGGAAGATACTCAATAAGAGGGGAGAAAGAGTAACAATGATGAACGGAACATTGAAGAAAAATGAATTAAACCCACGAAACCACCTCTCAGAAGCTCAGTTTTCACAACAGTGTTTAGCCTAAAGAACATATACTGAGACGTTTGAGCTCCGTAGTGAAGCTGGACCAAACTGTGGACTACAGAGCGGTTTAGACGATGACATTACTGGCACCTCTATACAAATGAAAAAGTCAAGAAAAACATTTTAAAAGAAATACTCAAACGACTTTTTTTTTTTTACATATAATTGTTACGCAATACATGATTGTCACTAAAAGCCTTGTCTCTACATTACAATAAAATATACAAAATAATAGATTAATAAATTTTAATAAAAACTCAAGTTAGTAGCTATTAAAGGCATAAAAAGACAGAAATGTATAATTTTTTCTTTAATAGAAATGTTTCTTCTGCCCATAAAGTGTCCAAACCAGGCTTTTCTGGATAAGCGCATTCTTAAAACATAGTCATTGTCCATGCCGGTTTCAGTTGGATTATTTGTCACAGTTGCTCCGATCAGATCGGTCTCCTCCATTTTGTAGATTATTTACGACTTTTGAATCCACATAAACACATCGGCAAAACCCGGCTTACTTTGAGCATGTGTTTTAAACAGTTTAATACCTTTGTGAATTGTTTCCACTTGCGCCGTCCTTTAATTTCTTCATACAGCGCGAATCCAAATGAATTAGTCCTGAGTCCAATAACCATCAAAGTCACTCCAATAGAGCTCCTTAATTACGCTTTCATCCTCCTTTAACAAAATACTTCACATTCATCTAGTTTTTGACAGCAGTTGTAGCATTTTTGAGACTTTTAAACTGTAATTACCGCTGTTCCCC